TAAACTAAACCCTAAAACAGCAACCGAAAACAATCCTGGTCGTCGAGAGGGAGGATGCGAGAGGGAGGCGAGAAGGAGGCGATGTCTAAGTCGGTTCTCCCCTGCACTCGTTGCTGCTGCTGGTTAACCTAATTAATCAGTAACCGAGAGGGAGCCGAGAGGGAGGCGAGAGGGAGGAGGCGAGAGGGAGGAGCCGAGAGGGAGGCGAGAGGGAGGAGGCGAGAGGGAGGAAGCGAGAGGGAGGAGCCGAGAGGGAGGATGCGAGAGGGAGGAGCCGAGAGCGAGGCGAGAGGGATGAGGCGAGAGGGAGGAGTCGTGAGGGAGGTGAGAGGGAGGAGTCGTGAGGGAGTCTGGTTAACCTAACAACAAAACACAATTTGGGCTTTCAGGGGGGTTTTAAAATTTTCAAATTTCTTTTTAAATTTCATTTCAAAATAAAAAACAAAAACACAATTTGGGCTTTTTATTTTTATTTCATTTTAAAATAAAAATTAAAGTTAATAAATATAAAGAAATTTAGAAAAAATGTTTTTTATATTTTTTTTCCTAACAATATATATTTATATATTTTTATAAAAATAAATGTTTTTTTTATAGTTTTTAACGTTTCCGACGGATTTCCGACGGATTACCGATGGAATTTAGTTTTTTTTTAAATAAAAACTAAATTCCATCGGAAATCCGTCGGTAATTTAAAAAAATGTTTTTTAATTTTTTTCCTAACAAATGTATATATATATATATATATATATTTATAAAGATTTTTTAAACTTTCCGACGGATTTCCGACGGAATTATTTTTTTTTTAAATAAAAACTAAATTCCGTCGGAAATTTAAAAAAAATGTTTTTTTAATTTTTTTCCAAACAAATGTATATATATATATATATCTATACTATATTATAAAGCATTTGACTAAAACTCTTAAAAACTCTTAAACTCTTAAAACTCTTAAACCCGTTCATCCCTAAATTATTTCATCCCTATCCGATTTCATCCAATAACTGAATTCGTGTAACTAACTGCAGATAAACATAATCCAATACAGGATAAACATCTCCTTTTAAATATAAAAAATCTAAAATATAATTATGATAATCATTGAGTTCTAACAAAATACTTAATTATTATCTTTATAAAATGTTATATTGTTAAACCAAAGATAAATTATTTCATTATTAAACTTAAATTAAATTA